TGAAATTATTAATTTGTGAGGCTGATTAACAACAGATGCCTTTCTCATTATACATAAGGAAGCTCCATGAGGAGGAAAGATGGTATCTGTTTGGCTCCGTTTTACAGGCAACACCTAGTACAAAGTAGGTACTCAAAACATTTATTCAGTATTTGAGGACTAATTTCATCTAATTTGATGAAATCCTCTCCTGTCGCCATGTATAAAGCTAATTATGAAAACATAACAACAATACATTTTATAACAGGTTTGAACAACTTCTCAGTATTTGAGGGGTTAAAAACATTGGAAGTATATTAATACTTTCTAGCTTATAAAGAGTACTTTTTTGCACAGATTTCTTTAGAAGAAAAAAATGCTTCTAGGTATAGTTTGTCTATTGTAGTTTAATTCTAAAATAGACAATGGAGTGGATTTTGGGGGAGGTTTAATCTAGCAGTTAAGTGATTCAGATATAAACAGAAGGAAAAGCCTCCAGATAATCTTTAGATTCACTTTCATATATTTACACAATTTCTTGGTATAAGTTTAGGGGATCTGATGACCTTAAAAAAGATTATTATCACCAAATCCACTCTTCTACAAGAATCCACTTGTATATAAGAATCAGATTGGTAATTTTTTCATCACAATGGTTATTTTCATAATAATGATTAAAGAAAAATGCTCCTCATGGAAATTCACTTCTCCAAGAAACTAGTCACTTATTTTCAAGTTTCCAAAAAATATACCCAACTATTAATGTAAACAACAAAAAACCTTAAATCCGTTTCAAAAGCATCTTCTATTGAAGTTCAGTTCACACCCCCCCCCCCCCCCCCAAATAGTTAGCTCTATGTCTTTTGATGAGTAGTATTTATAAGGAAGTTTAGAGAGCCAGGCTAGGAGAGAAAGCAGATATGGCCAAATTCTATAGTATGCTGTGTTCTATCTATATTTTCCTCATGTTCTGCATGTTAGCATATTAAAGGCTCCTAGATGTCCTGTAAAGAAACCTGCTAACTGGGTTTGAACTGTTTTCTAAACTTACTTCACCACAGAATCTATTATAACGAAGTTACCAAACACACTTGAGAATTGTTGGTCTGCCTGCATTCTACGGATTAACTAGTCCAGAATCCTATTAAAAACATAAAACAATCTTGCGTTTAGTGGTCCCCTGACTCCTGGTGACCCATACTTTAAAAGTTCACAAACCAGCCATTTAATAATTCATCTTAGAGCTGGCTCTGTGGCACAATGGATAATGCATTAGACTTCTAATAATTCACCTTAGAATCTTATCAGAGTTTATGTATACTACTATATAATTTGCACAATCTACTTTCTTCCTTTGAAAATCAGGACATTTGCTGGTCTCCAATCTACAAGCACTTTAATACAGGCTGAGCATCCCAAATGCAAAAATCTGAAATTCAAAATGCTCCAAAATCCGAAACTTTTTGAGCGCCAGCATGATACTCAAAGGAAATACTCATTGAAGCATTTTGGATTTTTGGATTTGGGATGCTCAATAGTAAGTAAAATGCAAAGATTCCAAAATCCAAAAAACATCTGGTCCCAAGCATTTCAGATAAGGGATACTCAACTTGTACTTTAATTTCTTAAGGCTTAGTAACAACAATTTAATGAACTCAGTGATCCCAAGTTAGTAATGGGAATTTGGGAGGAAGTAAAGTGTTATCTTAAAGCATCTCAGGAAAGAAAATGCAGACAAGCCTATCCTTCCTTATCTTTGGGACCACCAACTAGAAAACCATCAAGGACATACAGTGATCCTTTTAAATCAGTGGCTTGCTACAAGGAAGTGTGCACAAAAATATCTGGGAAATACTTTCAAAATATATGGCACCACTGGCGTTGAGACCCTGGGTATGTGTACTCTGAAAAGCTCCCCAGGTGACTTTAATGCACATTTCTAGATAAAAATTCTAGTTTTGGATACTATCCTCCTCACTGTAATCATCCGCACTAAGGACAATTTAACAGTAATCATTTGCAATAAAGACCTCTAAGCTTTTAACTTTTCTTTTCGAGTGTTTCAGGCCATGTGTCTATGGCATCTTTCTCTGAGTACATTACACCCTGATTTCCTTAATGGTGTTTTAGAGTACTCTACCACTATTCCTTAATCTGGAGTATCAGAATTAAGATGATAGAGCTACTTTTCCTTATAGTTCATATTGCTACCACTTGATCACACAATTCTCCCTCTACATTTAGATTTGTTTTGTAACAGCAGTTTTCGTATCCCTCTTCCTTCTTCCAGAAGGTAGGAAAATGACAAATGTACCAGAAACCCCTATTGGACTATTTCAGTACATTTCCCAAGACAGTCTGGTCTTGCCTGTGTGCTTGGTTGTCTATAGTTGTTAAACTATTCATTTACATTCACTCGGCTAGACAGTCCATAGGATGCCCTCACAATAATCCCCTCCCTCTCCTTTAGTCCTTAAAGTGATCAACAGAGCAGCTTGTTATCATTATCTCCTCTAGACATACAGCACTACATTGCCTCATCTCTTAAGAGTTCTGTTTCTCCTGATCAAGTTATTCTCTTCCATTTTTATATTCCAGTAGCTTTATTCCACCACATCTTGGTCATATATTATGGACTAAAATATGTTCTTTATTATTCCTGTTCAGTGAATTGTCTAAGACTTTAAGTACAATTTTTGATTTTTGGAAAATTTATACTCTTACTCTATTTTTACATTGTCTTATAGTCTTCAGAGATTATAGTTTTTGAAAAAAATACTGAATTCATTTTGGTGACTTAAAACAAGTTGTAATTTAGAAAATCATCTTACGCTTTCAAATAAAACCTCCTACATTTAATTGACTAAGAATTTAAGCATAGATTACTCTGTAAAGAAAAGCTGTTTTAGGCATATGTGAACATACTATCTGAAGTGGGTATAGTAACATCAAAGGGAAGGGACTAGTTAAACACCACCACCTCTGCTCCTAAACTACCAAGAGCCGAGACATACAAATTTTATGGCAAGTAATCTAAAACTCTTCTCAAAATGATTAACTGTTATTCTATCCAACAAGAAAACCAATACAACAGATCTATCTAATTAGTTAAGACACCAGATACTCGTCATGCAGTTTCAGTGTCTAGTAACAATCCTCTAGACTTTAAAGTTCAATTTCACAACTTCTAAGTACTAATAACATATTTTAAAAGGTTGATATCCACTTTAAACTACACAGAAGTACCAGAGTACACAACTTTCAAGTGAATGTGTGTATATACCAACCTGGCAGCTTCCAAAGATTTTCAACATATATATTGCAAAGTCATTAGCTTAACTTCCAAAAATAAAATTTCACATGAGGTGGGAGAAATAGCATCAAATAGCTGAGTACTCTCTCTCTAGAAAGCTGACATACATCAATCTATATTTTTCACGTCAAAACATAATTGACTTGAATTCGCCCAAGGGACAAATTTATTTTTATCTTCCCAAAATTATCCAAGAGTGCAAAATGTAACTATTAGAAATTTAAAAAACAATTAAACATTTTAGAATATATTTTTCATTATCTTCAAATTCTGACAAAATACAGTTCATTTAAAAAAATTAACTATGCCAATTTTGCTTATTGCTATTAGGTTTTTTAAAAAAACAATTTTCATTTTTTGTCTTAGTTTCATTAGAGATCCAAAAGTCTTTTGCCATATTCAGTAAATAATAAAATTAAACTCTTCTTTTTCATATCTAAGCTAATTATCTGAGCTAACAGCTCCAAGTTAACACTAAAAAGAAATAATCAGAAATTTTAAAAAAATTGTCAGGATAGTTCAAAGTAACAAAGAAACAACTCTACAATTGATACCGCTAATGGTGACCACCCTTAGGCTTACATTTTAATATTTCACTTACTGAATGTGTCTCAATAGACTTTTTTTTGTTTGTTGTTAAATAACACTCCCATCTACTCCTAACACACCCATGGGCTTTATTAAATTCAAGAAAATAACCTCGAATGTTGGTCAGAATGCCAGAGATGGCCAAATTAGAAATAAAATAATTGCTGATGACAAAAATGGCCTTCTTTTTATTCTCAACTATTTTTGATATATGTGTATTTAAAAATTCATTATTTAACAAAAAATGACTTTTAAAATATATATTTGAAGTCTCAAAAGTTAATTTGAAAGAAATGTATACCATTTCATTTGAAAAATAATGAATAGCTTCTGTAGATATATGTAAGATCCTTATATGAGTTGTAAATCTGTCATCAAAACCATCACATTTTAGTATTTTTAAAGGAGAATTCCAGGAAGATTTTTGCTGCATTATGCAATTGATCAAATACAGTACTTTTACATGTAAAAATAATTTACACTGAAAAACTTAAGCAAAAAGTCTGATACTTTATCAAAATAACAGGAACAAAATGAGCAATGAAAAAATAGCAAAAGCTATTACAAAAAATAGTAAATTCCTATTTAAATTTCTGTGTTTACACAGATTAAAAATGTTCATCAATTAATTATATCACACAGATTGTAGCACACTTTAAGCTATAATATAGAAAGGTAACATGGGATATTTAAAATTGAAGCTGCACTTACCAAAACAGTTTTAACCTGAGTCTTTGATGTCTTCAGAAATACATTTGACAACAATGTATGCAAGTATAGTTATATTTTAGTGATATAATTCAAGATTTTTTTTTTGAATTGCTCTTAACACTGCTTCTTAAATATTTGTGTAAAATTATAAATATTTATTACATTTCTTGTGTTTTCTGAACACACAGGAGTATATAAATTGAAAAGCTATGACTTTTTTCTTGCTATACAAGCATATGAAGATGTCTTCTTAGTTCAGAATATCTTAGATTTAATTTTATTTTCACATTTTGAGTTGTGAAAATATTGTAAAGGGTCAAAAGATTACCATAGATATTTGAATATTCCCATGAAATATGTCACACCCACTGAGGAATTATACAAGCTTCACTAAAGAATATCAAATTAATCATTTCCTCCTATAAATATTTTCTTTTTATTTTGTGTTTAGAAGTTGCAATTTTAAGTACTATTAACAGAAAATACAAAACAAAAGCTTCCTAACAAGTGAAAAAAATAATTATAAATGCTGGAAAAATTGGCCTCATTAACATATTTACAGACTTTTACTTGATACATACTCCTTTGGAAATTAATTATATGACATTTTTACAAGCATTAAAATTTCCAAATCACTCTGAGTAGTGAGCACTTCAGTTCTTTACTGTCTATACCCAAAGTTGAAAGTCATTTAGTTTCTGAAGGCAGAACTGACAAGCAACAGAAATGGTCAATCTGAGATACTGTTGACATATTGCTCTGTTCCTTCGCCTAAAGATGCTTCTGTTGAGTAAGTGTCATTATGTTTTTTTTTCTCTTTGCTCTGATCTTCCTGCAGCTTCAGAATTATGTTTCGGATTTCTTCTCTTTTTGTTCTCATTCTTGGAGGAGGAAACCAGTTTGCCAAATTCATAGGTAGTTCAAAATTGAGTACTGGATTCTGAAAATAAAAATATTAAATGCGTATTAAAAATGATAATAAATAACATTTTAGTTTTAATCACATAAAACATCCCAAAGTTAGGCCGGGCGCGGTGGCTCACGCCTGTAATCCTAGCTCTCTGGGAGGTCGAGGTGGGCGGATTGTTTGAGCTCAGGAGTTCGAAACCAGCCTGAGCAAGAGCGAGACCCCGTCTCTACTAAAAATTAGAAAGAAATTAATTGGACAACTAAAAATATATAGAAAAAAAATTAGCCAGGCATGGTGGCGCATGCCTGTAGTCCCAGCTACCCAGGAGGCTGAGGCAGTAGGATCGCTTGAGCCCAGGAGTTTGAGGTTGCTGTGAGCTAGGCTGACACCCCGGCACTCACTCTAGCCAGGGCAACAGAGTGAGACTCTGTCTCAAAAAAAAAAAAAACATTCCAAAGTTAAAAGGAGAAATCAATAACTAATTCAATATGTATTTACAATTACATATAAATCTCTATCACATGCTAGGCATTATGCTAGGCACTGGATTATGTAAGATACAGTTTCTGCCTATAAATCTTAAAATCTAGATGAGGGGCTGGCAAATTACAGCCAGTGAGTCAAATTCTACCCATTGCCTGTTTTTGTAATAAAGTTTTATTGGAACATAGCCATACTAACACATTTACGTATGGTCTATGGATGCTATCACTAGATAACAGTAGAACTGAAAGTAACAACAGAGACCATATAGCCACAAAGCCTAAAATATTTACTATCTGGCCCTTTATAAAAATGTTTGCCAGGCCAAGACCAACCTCAGCAACACAGCAAGACCCCAACTCTACAAAAAATTAAAAAACAGTAGGGCATGGTGGCACATGCCTGTTAGTCCTAGCTACTCAGGAGGCTGAGGGCAGGAAGATCACCTAAGCCCAGGAATTTGAGGCTACAGTGAGCTATAATTGTGCCATTTACACTCCAGCCTGGGTGACACGGCAAGATCCTTTCTCTTTAAAAAAAAAAAAAAAAAGGCTTGCCAGCCCCAGAGAGATGATATCTGACATTAATGACAGAACTCACAGGACTTAGTGGTTCATACATTGGATGGTCAATGAAGAAGGAAGGTGTCAAGATGACTGTAAAGAATCAAGGGAGGTATGTCTGGGACTATACCTCTGAGGTCAAACCCAGAAAATGAGGAAGAAATGGTCAACAGTATCAAATGGTGCTGGGAGATCAATAACAATTTTAATATAAAGGTAAGGATGAAACCAGATTTTAGGTATTTGAGAAGCAAGTAGGATTTGTGGAAATGGAGACAGAGAATATAAATACTTCGAGAAATATATCTGTGAAGAGGAGAAGAGAGGGTAAAAGAGGCAGTCTGATTCAAGGGAGAGATTTCTTAAGGTGGAAAGAGCCAATAGAAAGGGCGAGTTGATTGATCAGTCACAGAATGAGCTAAATAAACCTTGGATTTGATGAACTATATATACAGTGCTTTTATGCCTTGAAAGTTCTCCAATTTGAAAGTTTTTGCTCCCTGGAATAACTTCTGAAATAATAACTTTCAAAACTCTTTAAAATATTTGCTCATTGTGTTTTTTACTAACATAGTCAAGTGCACTATTTTATTATTTATTTTATCAGATCCGACAAACTGAAACCCACCTCAAAAAAGCTCTCTACATATTGCAATATGTATACACCACAGTCACTGAAGTTGTTTTGCTGGGGTACTTTTGGATTAGAGCCCTTCATAACATCTTTGGAAAAACTTCTTTTGCTTCCTTTTTTAACTTCCCATTCCACTTCTAAATACCTGCAATAATGCATATACAGTAAAAATATACATATACCTAAATATACATAGTTCCTCATCCCCACCAGAATACAAAACAAAGTACAAGGTGTGATTTTGAACTTACTCTCTTAATATTTTGACAACATTTGACCTAGAAGGGCCTCTGAGTGAGTCCATAAGTAGGATACAAGGTCTGCAGGGTACAAATGACCAAAAGTTAAATACTTTATAATATTACAAAGGCATAAAAAGATTAAAAGTGGCATATTTACAATAAAATTTAAAACCTTAAAAGTTTCCTTTGTATGCCTCTCAGTAAACACTGGGGAGAAAAAATGAATCTTATAGATATATATGAACCTTACAGTCCAATGATACTTAAGTATCTATGGTTATATTAGATATTAAATTACAAAATATTAATTTAATCATATCTTAGTTATAAATATTTTACACTAAAGTTTCACAGTTGGTTCCTAAAAATACTTCAAAATTAGTAGGAAGTCAAAACAATTCTGAAAATTTGGAACATACTCATATTCCAAATCAACAAAAGTGGGACCATGCAAAAGTAGAAGGAAAATAATCCAATTTTAACCCAAACCTATTATAGACATCATCACATTAGTTTAGAATGCTGTGTTTTTTCCAAGATTCCACTTCAGAACACTCTGTATAACTTAGATTCAACCTTCAAAGATTTAATTATGTAAAGTTATGTTATAAACTCAATTAAGTGAGGAAGTGTAATATAGTGCCAAAAGTCCCAAAACGTTTAAAGATCCAGGTTCTTCCTAGCTAAAATTTTATGAAATTTGGAGGAGATCCCTTCACTATCCTAGGTCTCTATATATTCCATTAAAAGTGAAGTTTGCTTTTGAAAGTCTCTTAATGGAGTTTCCATTAAACTTTTCTACAAAAATGTCAAAGGAGATTAAGCCTAGAAATTGGTAATACTTTATCTAAGAAGTTCAGAGTCTCTGGAGAGACACTTCAGAAGAATCATGTACTTCTGAAAACCAAAACTGACTCACTACTGTTTGGGGTTCCCATCTGGAACATGTCCCTCAGGACTGCCTTGAGTCACTCCACAGCTTTCATGCAGTAGCAATGAAACCAGTGTAAACTCCAACCCCAAGTTATTATTTTGATATATAATGTTTTCTGCTCCAAAGCACCACATATCAAAAGGAATAGTGGTTCGCGATCAAAACTGTATGTGCAGAAGTGCAAGCAGAGGCTGGGAAAATTGGCAAATGGAGAACTGAAATGAATACCTATTTTTTCCTCCTTAATTCCTGGACAGCATGCCCCAAGTTTCCTCACTGACCCTGACAGCATTTGTGAGTTTTGTTTTAGTATTTGTTTAAATAAAAACTGTTCAGTTATGTTTTATTTTATGAATGTACTTAAACAAAAATTATCATGGAGTTTGGAAGATAAAACAGTTAATGCTTACTGTTTACAGATAGTAGGTTTTAAATGCCACTGTCCTATTTCTGAATTGCAGTTGTCATCAGCAAGGAATCCATCATCACTGCTATCATCCTATAAAAGACAGCCTCCTGTTAATATTGAAAATATGCAATCTAAATAACTAATAACCTAACAAAATAGCATCATTGGGGACAAACATCTTTGTAACAAATATGTAAAAAAAATTTCTATTTAGGTGATCAGACACTTAATTCCAATTACCTAATGCTTTAAAAAAATCTAATGACATTTTAGTGGGGGGGAAAAAAAAACCTAACAACCAGAGATTTATAAGAAATTGTTACATCTATTCACTCAATCTACAATAAATCTTAAAGACTGAATATATTATGACTGATTCTTCTGCAAAATATTATTACTCTGATTTTAGTTTATTTTTACAAAAATTTAGTTTGCTAAGACAGCTGTTTCACAACAGGACATAAATAATCTATATTTATTATTATTTTACATGAATAATTTTTTTCACATCAGAAATATTAATATTTAAAGGTTTTTTGGAAACACTGTTTTCCTTGAGACACCCGTATTTTCACTGCACTTGAGAGAAGACAGCTTAAGGACACTGTATCCTTATTCTACAGGTTTGCTTGAATGTAAAATAAGTAAGGAATTTTTTGAGACAGCTTCTGGCAACTTTATGAATGGAATAATCAACAATAGGAATAACAGCAATAATAAAGCACAGTCAGATTAGCTAGTTCACAAAATAGGTAACTGCTATCACCAAAAGAGCCAAAGAGTAAGTGCTCGTTATAAACCATGAATGTGATCCCTTCTATATGTTAGAGAGAAAAACTGTATTTTACAGCCATACATTGTAAACCAAGGGATATCACAAAAAAATAGCTTTTGTTCACACATGAAGAGAGTAATACGAAAAAAGGAAAAATGGTATGGTATAAAGCTATCTTCACTATTAGACAAACGATTCAGTTTGTCCTAAAAACTAAAGAAAAGTCAGAGAATTAAAGGTATGGTATGCTATAAGATTCTTATAAACTTTTCTCT